GCTGCTGCTGCAGCCCATGGGCTCTCTAAAAGTGACATTTTTCCACCCAAAACGCCTTCCGGAGGTTACGGGGGGACCGTGCGCTGCTGGCGCGGGGTTCCTCGGGCTGGTGGGAGGTGACGGTCCCCAGCAGGACCCGGTGTGGGGACGGTACCGGGAACGCCGGCGTAGCCCTCACCGGCCACGCAGGAAGCGAGGGGGAAGGGCTCCGGAAGCGGGCAGCAAACGGGGCAATTCTCGGCTGTTTTGGGGCGGTTCGGGGGTGTCGCTTTCCCTTTCTCTCCCCAAAAAAAGCAGGTGGCGAATCCTATTTTGGGGGTGATGCGAAGCTCCCCCCAACCCCACACGCTGCCGGGTTTCCTGGCTGGGGTTCGGTGCTAAATTCGGCTCTCCTGCGGCTGTATCAGCCCGGGGCAGGCTCCGGCCACTTCCCGGGGGGGGGTCAACCTCTTCCTGGACACCCCAAAACTCCCTCCCACATGGCCCCGGCCTCGCCACGCTCCTGCGATGGTGGCTTCGGAGGCCACAGACCATCCTCATCCTCGGCACGGTGTCACCGGTGCCCACCGAAGCAGCACCCAGGGTTTCGCCTGCACCCGTAGTCGCCTGCACGGATGCTTTGGGGCCCATAGGGTTGCGCCTATAGGGTTTTGTAGGGTCGGGTGATGAGTTAGCACCCAAAAAAGTCACTGTTTTCCTCTAAAAAATAAAAGCGCCGAGGGATGCGCTGAAATTTTGCGGCCTCCACCCAAATTCCTGCTCGGCGTTGGCTCCACCGGCTCCTCAGCGTCCCCCGAGAGGGGCTTTTGCCGGTGCCGGCCCCACAGCGCCCAGCTCGGGGCTGACGGTTTTTCCCCCACGGCTCCATCTCTCTCCGTCTCAGGTGTTGCAAAAATTGGGCAAAACAGTGGAAACCAAAGACGAGCAGTTCGAGCAGAGCGCGTACAACTTCCAGCTGCAGCAGGTCACACCGGGGAGCGGGGAATACTGGGGGAGGACGGGGACACCCCTACACCAACCCATGGCCCCGCTGCCTCCAGGGGTCCCTCCGTCCCCACCGGGCTGGTGGGAATCACCGTGAGCCCCCGGGGACGTCCCTGACCTGTCCCCTCGCCCCGTTGCTTTGCAGAACGAAGGCAATAAACTCTACAAAGACCTCAAGGCTTTCCTCGGAGCGGTGAAAGGTACGGGTCTCCCCCCCCCGTCCCTGTAAATATGCCGGGGAAAAAAAAAACCATGGGCACCACAGAGGAGCCGGGAGGGGATTGAGCATCGCTGTGTTTTCTTACCCAAGATAATAAATAATAATAAGTAATAATAAGTAATAATAATAAACAATAATAACTAATAATAAACAATAATAAGCAATAATAAGTAATAATAAACAATAATAACTAATAATAAACAATAATAAGCAATAATAAGAAATTTATCAATAATAAAAATAAGATAAAAGCCATTAGTGAAATTTCTGCAATAACGATTGTCAAGAAGGAAATAAGTAAAATAGAAGTGAAAAAATACAGCAAAATAATAGCATTCATTCTTCTTTTTTAAACAATACACTCGTGGTTTAGGCCAAATCGGCTACTGGGGACCTGGGGGACCCCAGATGGGACCGACAGATGCTCTCCTCTACCCCTCTTCAAAGAGTGAGGCAGAGGAGGGAAAAAGAGATGTAGGAGTTTAGAAGGAACTAAACTACTTTAATGAAATATAAATAATAAAATAAAAATAAATAATAAAAATAATAAATAATAAAAATACTAATAAATAATGGTTTTGCCGGGCCGCAGTGATGCACGAGAGCTCCCGGAAAGTGGCCGAAACGCTGCAGGAGATTTACAGCACCGACTGGGACGGTCACGAGGAGCTGAAAGCCATCGCAGATGTGAGCCCCTTGACGTGCCCCCGCTGTCCCCAAGGGTCCCCTTTGACCATCGCGGGAGGGGGGGCCGGCAAGCTGAGCCGGGGGGGTCCCTGGGGATGCAGCCCAGCACGTACGGCCGGAGGGGAGGTCTGGGGGGGGCAATCCGGGCGGTATACCCCC